TAATTACAGAAACATATACATTTTTACGAGCAATTTTGCGACTAGCTGTGCGAAAAAACGCATGTTCGTGCTGGCACTCTTTCTCACATCATAGTCTATTGCCAGTTGTGATATACTGCTTTCAGCTGCAAGAAATCAATTCACAAAAAGCACGAATCGGTCGCGAGAATTCACAGCTGCAGCAACAGATTGAAGAGACAGAATCGCAGATCGCAAATCTTTCGCGTCTGAAAACGCAGCATAATCAACGGCTGGAAGATCTGCAGCGTGCGGTGGAAGAGGAAACACAACGGAGACAGTCTCTGGATTCTGCTGTAAAAAATCTCGTCCACCAAATCGAGCAGCTGCTTGAGAACATTAATATCGAACAAGCCAACAAAACTGAACTCCGAAAAATTCTGAGCAAAAAGAATGCGGAAGTGCAACAGTGGCAAGTACGGATCGACGAGGCCGAGCTGGTAGCTGTAACTCATCTCGACGAAGTCAAACAGAAGCAGCAGGCACAAATTGTGCAGCTGCATGAATCTTTGGATGCAACGAACTCCATGATAGCTGCTTCTGAAAAAGTAAAGATCCGTCTTAGCAAAGACGTCGAAGAAGCACGAGTGGAAGCTGGACGACACGTGGTTAGCGCAGTACACTTCGAGAAAAAGCGAGCGGAAATGGAACGCACGATTGAGGACTGGAAACAAAGGGAGAACAGCCTGCGACGAGAAATTGAAGCAGCTCGAACAGATGCGAAGAATTCAGCTAATGACCTGTTCAAGCTAAAAGGGATAAATGAAGGCTTATTCGAACAAGTGGAACGCCTGAGACGAGAAAATAAAACACTGAGTCAAGAAGTGAAGGATATGAAGGATCAGTACGACAGTGGGGTGCAGGGGCTGCATGAAACACAGAAAATGGTACAGCGACTGAGCGTGGAAAAGGAAGAACTGCAGCAAGCGCTAGCTGAAGCTGAAGATGGCCTGGAAGTGGAGGCCGCCAAGGTGACACGATTTCAGAAAGACATTGAGCAAACTAAGAGTGACATTGCTAAGAGATTTGAAGAAAAGGATAGTGAATTTGAAACGCTTCGGCACAATCAGCAGCGAGCCATCGAGTCGGTCCAGGTAAAGCAATTTTTATCGTCAGACTGAACTCATCCTAATTTTTTGCACTCATTTCGAGAAATGGCTTTCCGGGAATTAAGGGAAGTATGTCTAGGAAGCTTCGGCGTAGAGGAACTGATTGGTTTAAACAAGAGCACATGAAAAATAACGCTTGCTAGAAGGCGCAATGCAGTAATGTGTTTTTCCAATGAGCTGTAGTGGCTGCATTGCAGATGATTGCTTCACCTTATGTGTGAATTATAATGTTTTAGTTGGTTCAGCGTATACAAAGCAGCAAAATTTTGCTCGGCTTTGAAATCTTGACAACCATCCGCAAAATTCAGATAAGCGCCTAGAATTCATTATACACGTAGGTATGAGACTTGAATTTAGGCTGATCACGCAATATCGAGATTCATTGAGCAGCTTTCTCTCAAATTAAGATGGCTGTAAGGGTAATTTGGGTATTGGTCGTAGCCCAACAGGCAGCAGTCCTGCCCGGCTGCACGGTTCCTTAAAAAGGTTTGTGCCTTTGGACGGGCGCATTCCTTCTTGTTAAGGTCAGCAAACCAAAATAATTGGCCAACGCGCGAGCTGTCCGTGCGATGATGCGTTTTTTGCATTATTCCCGCAACTTTTGTCGCTACCGGCATCGGTTTTTTTCGGCAGATCCTTCTAGCTAAACAAATTAAGACTAGCT